AGTGAATGACGTCGAAACGGTTAAAAGAACCTTAAGATTAAAGGTTTTCGGGTTGTCCGAGTTCGCAGTTTAATGATACCGAAACCTCTGTGGGTAGGCCGGGAAAGCACCAAACTGAATTGACAGTTTGCTACACAAACGCCCGCAGCCTGTTGAACAAATTGACTGAGCTGGTTAACACGATAGACTCCGGAAACCTAGATGTAATTATCATCACAAAGACATGGCTCACATCCGATGTTACTGACAACGTAGTAAATTTGCCAAACTTCGAAGTGCATAGGGTGGACCGACTAAATCGCAAAGGAGGTGGCGTAGTCATCTACCTCAAGAATGCCTAACATTGCGTAGCATCGAAGCACTAGCTCACTAAAGTGAGTCGTGAGAACTTCTACGCTGCAGACTAAAATGCATAGGCCAAGAACAATGCAGAACAGCCACTAGACAAGAGTTTTTCATGATTAGGTATGCCCAAATATGGAACAAACTACCTGAGGAAATGCGACTAGCAAGCTCACTGGTGTCCCTTGGAAAGGCACTTAATGACACACTAAGTCAGTTTGCAAGTGATAGCAGTGCTAATTCCCATGTAGGAGCTTCAGAAATCATAGGCCCATTTAATGTATGAACTTAGAGACTACACCTGTTGTTTGTTTTGCCTATATTTATAATTTCAGACAAACAAGCAGCAGTCATGACAATAACACCCATACAAATAAGAGTCGATCGAATTATGTCTACCTGATACAAAGAGTGAACCATAACCAACATACGAATGAAATATGAGAAAACAAGGTCGAGATTTGCCACAACATCACATAGAAAGATATAAGTCACTAGAACATTATTTATAATCCATCAACTGGTCTCCTTTTCAAAAGGAATGCGGCGATATTTAATCCACAGTGGTGAGGAAATACATAAATCCGTAGTGCACCCATACCCAACACGAGATGTAATCAACTAAATCCGAGAGGCAAACAAGTTGTAGTACATATTAGAATATTCATCTATATGTCGATCACGATGACAAATTCAGATCACTACCTATACAGCGCTAATAAACCTGGACATCTATGAAATAACGAAAATAGGCTGACAGCTGCATTCATATATATATGTATTTATTCCTATATTTTATACCCTGTAGTGGACCTAGTAGCTAGGTAAGTATATAAACGCAATTAAAAGGACAGAACAGGTACTAACAAATACGTATATATAAAATATTCAGTTCACTTAAGTTAATATACACAAAAAGGACTGAGATTATTTGAAGAAAAACTATAACAGTCACAAAATACACAAATTATAGACGTACGAAATTATAGGAATGTAATTGTCCTTCTCTTGATTATACAAATTCTCCACTACAACTTAGAGCTGTCAACCGTCGGAAGTCTCCACGTAGAGTAAAGCAGATAGGAGCAAAGTTCTTGACGGGGATGTGTCAACCAGTGCGAGACAGCGTTGGTCAGCAGATGTGCTGGGCGAGCAGCCGGAGAGAGGGCGAACGATTCGTTCCTTGCGCGCGGTTCAAGGTTTAAGGTTGAATTCCTTCTTTTTTTCGTGAACATATAATTCGATATGTTTTTAGGCCGCCACAACCCAACTGACTCATCCGATAGTAATATTCTGCCCCTGCATGCCTCTTTCGACATTTTTTATGGATTGGTTCGCATTCATTCTGGATCAAGACCGAAAGGAATCAAAAATCCACCAGTTGCGGAATCATTAATACTTCTCTGCATGTTTAACTGGATAATAACTGCTGTGGTGAGCCTCCTGCAGATTGTATTGCTTAAAATATCGTTTGCAGTAAACTAACTAACGTTTTCTAAGCCATTTTTATACTTTTGTAAGTAGCCCACCATATCGCCTGAATGTAACGCAGCACTCAGTTGTTACGCTCATTTTCAACAAATTCAAACAATAATGTTGACTAGGATTATATCATATAAGTTATTCCAACTTATACAGACTGTGCTTACGGTCAATATTCCATTATCTTCGCTTGTATATATATCTTGTGTTATTGAAAAATTTTAAACATGCTTACTCCATGTGTACATTATTATCATATTGATGACGCCTGTCAACTGGAGTCCCTCATGTGCATAAGGTGAGAATATATTATTGTAAGACATATTTTATTGTTTAATGAGGGAATTGACTTCAAGCTTTATTTATTTTCCCAAGTATCTGCGATCCATCCAATGAATACTTGGGTTTTTTTGTTAATGCAAAGTCAATATCTCTATATTTCTTGATGAGGTCCATTGAACCACTAGTTGTCAGATTTTTCCCACAAACTAAAGATAAAATGACAGCAGCCATGTTATTCATGTAATTTAAATATGGAATCTAAATAATACTTATCCATGCCTACAAAACTTGTGTGTCCTACATTTGTAGGAATAAATATGTACCTTATTATAATACCATTACCAACTATACTTACTAATCCTATGTGTAATTTATCGAATTGATGATGCCTGTAAACTGGCGTCCCTCATGTACGAAAATTAGAGTATATTATTATTATAAGACATTGATCTGATTGCTATGTACCGCAGTCGTGACTGCAGTGCAGATGACTTCCTAATAGAGAAGCTAAGCTCCTGGACTTCGAAATGTCGAAGTCTCGTAGTCGGTGACTTCAACCCCCAACAGTTGATTGGACAAGTCTAACGACGCCATCTTCAGTCAACCACTTTGATCATAAACTGCTGGAATCTAGTATATCGCTAGTCCTAGTTAAACATGTCATTAAGCCCACGCGCAATGACTCACAGCACTCCTCCCATGGTGAGGATGTGGATCTCATGCAACATCTTCCTCCTTTAGGAAGAAGTGACCATGCTGTGCTCACTTCCAAGTTCACAGCAACAGCAGCAAGGGCCAAAACCCCAGCTCGACAAAACGTTTGGAAAGCTGATATAAATACGATCGTCTCAGAAGCCAACTCAGTAAACTGGTACATCAACCCAGAGTCTCAAGTAGAAGCCGCATGGAACCAATTTAAACAACTTTAGGCCCAAGTAACTGAACCTTTTACCCCTTGGATAAACCGAGTGATTCGAAAGTTACTCAGACGTAAACACAAATAGGAATAGAGCTATTGAAGAAATCCGCCAATCAAGGATGAAGTTCGAAGCACACCTGGCTCAAAATGCAAAGGCACAACCTAAGAAAATTTTCTCGTACATGAACTTCAGGAATAAAACATCCAATGGTGTCCCAAACCTGACTATTGACGATGATACAATCGAAGAAGATCAAGAAAAGGCAGAAGCAATGGCAAACTACTTCTCCCAAGTCTTCACTCAGGAGTCGTCACTGCCTATAGGATCAGCTCTGGCTGCATCAGAAGAACATGGGATAGATTCCGTTGACATCGACCAAGGCATCGTGCTCAACTGCCTAATGAAACTAGATGCAGGGAAATCAATGGGTCCTGATGATGTTCATCCAAGGCTTCTCAAGGAGCTATCAACCCACATAGCCGGCCCTTTGACTACGATCTTCAAGCTTTCTCTCCAAAATGGAGTGTTACCGCGTGACTGGAAAGACGCCATAGTAACCCCCATCCAAAAGGAGGATCAAGACAAAGCCCTTCAAATTACAGGCCTGTCAGTCTCACCAGCACTTTAATTAAGACACTGGAAAGAATCATCAAGAAAAGCATAATGGCATATCTAGAAAGTAGAAGCTTATTGTCAAGAGCACAGCATGGCTTCCGAAGGAACCTCTCATGTCTGTCAAATCTTCTCACTGCAAGAGAAAGCTGGGTCTAATCCAGGGACAACAGAAGACCCGTTGACGTCGTCTTCATAGACTTCAACAAAGCCTTTGATAAAGTACCTCACAAAAGACCATTCATGAAGTTGGAAAGTCTTGGTATCAAAGGCAGCTTACTAAACTGGCTCAGGGAATTCCTCATAGATAGGAGGCAGAGGGTTAGGATCAACTGGAAACTCTCCTCTTGGACAGCAGTACGTAGCGGAGTGCCACAAGGCACAGTACTCGGACCTCTCCTATTTATTTTGTATTTCAATCAGTTATCTCTGCTTACCGACTCCCTTATGGTCCTATACGCGGATGACTTAAAAATTTGGAGAGAGCTGAAGGGCAACAGTGACACATCCACGTTGCAAGAGGACCTCGACAAATTGTCACAGTGGTCCATAGAATGGATGCTCCTAGTAAATGCGGCAAAATGTGCAACCGTGCGCGTTGGGCAAGCAAGCACCAGCTCCTACGAACTAGAGGGAATAACACTCCCATCAGTTCAGACTCATTTGGACTTAGGTGTCATAGTTAGCCACGACTTAAAAACTACGGCACACTGTCGCGCGGTGGCTGCACGTAGTTTCAGGCCCTTATAGGCAATTCGTAGAGCCTTCACTAGAATCACCAGAGATATGTTCACCTCCTTATATACATCTCTGTTGGGGTCAAGACTGGAAAACTGCATCCAGGCCGCCAGCCCTTGTCTAAATGGGGACTCACACATCCTAGAAAGGGTTCAAAAGATGCAACACGTATGGTTCTCGGAATGACTAATTTATCATACGAGGAAAGACTAGACAGTTTAAATCTCTTCTCCTTGTCATACCGTAGGCAGAGAGGAGATTTAATCACAATGTTTAAAATTTTAAATAATGACTACGGACCTTACCTATTCCCTCTTTTCCTTCCCACCAGGTCGGAACACCTTAGAGGACATAGCAGGAGAGTTCAAAAGCCAAGGAGAAATAATATTACTGTTGAGTACTGGTTCTCACACCGAGTCATAAACTCTTGGAACCGACTCCCTGAAGAAGTGGTGTCTGCAACCTCAGCTGATTCGTTCAAGAAGGGTTTGGACAACCACAGAAATTTACTAGAAAAGGAATAACATAGGCCCCAAACCTTCCATCCCCAACAAATAGATCTGAAATCTGAAATATTGAATATTCAATCAATGATAGTTTTGAAATCTCATTTGCATGCATTTTCTTGCGTGAACTTTTTAAACTTTCTGCACTTGTTTTCGTGCTGTCACACACGATGGGTTTGTTCAATAAGAAGAAAAAAGATGCTGGTCAAAACCAGTCAGTAACACTTAAAAAGGAAGTTTCTGTATTACAAGGTGTCAGCATTGTTGTTGGAGTGATAATTGGTTCTGGAATTTTCGTATCACCAGTTGGAGTTTTAACATATACTAAGTCTGTCGGATTGTCTTTCATTTTGTGGTCCGTGACAGGGCTATTCAGCACTCTTGGTGGGTTTATTTTTCAGAAATTCATTTCTACATAGGCGCAATTGTGTACGCCGAGTTAGGAGTCACGATTCCTCGATCCGGTGGAGAATATATTTACATCCTCCAGACATTTGGACCCTTACCCGCCTTTCTTGCTTTTTGGATCACATTTGTAGTGATCGGATCTGCCAGTTGTGCTGCAAATGGACTTATCTTTGCAGAATATATTCTCCGGCCAGCATTCCTTAATTGCAATACTCCCACTTATGCTGTTCGACTTGTTGCAGTTCTTGGGATTCGTGAGTTTTTCATTTATAATATTACTATTTTAAAGTAACACTTTGTTTCATACACTGCTTTAGTGTTAAATGGGCAACGAAAATTGCAGTCGTCTTCACTACTTGCAAAGTAGCAGCTCTATTGCTTATTATTGGGTTTGGCGGCTACTACCTAGCTATAGGTAAGTTCACTATGATTTGACTCTGTTTTGGAATAAAGGACAACTTCACCACTTGACTGGCACCTCTTTATCTTGATTAGGTAACACGGAGAGTTTTAAGAATTCGTTCGAAGATAGTGAAACGTCACCAGGAGCACTTGCACTGGCATTTTATCAAGGATTCTGGGCTTTTTCTGGTTGGTAAGTTATTATTTCTTTGCCGTGTGTTCCCGCTGAACACAGTTTCAGAAGTTACTTGTTTATCATTATTAGGAACATCTTGTAACTACTATGCAGTGTAGTAACCGTATAAATTGTGTGAATAGTAATATTACCTTCCTCTGTACTAACGGTAGAAGAATTTCCTTCGACTGTTTTTGAAAATGCAGTCTGACTTAATTTGTACTGTACGTGTTTAAACAATACATGAGGTCTATTGGAATTTCAGTAAGGTGAATACCTTTAAATATGTGTGATACTCAGTTCAAATCTCTATTTCAAAATTTCTGTAGTATTTTTAAGTGCTTTGGAGACAGTCATGGTTTTGCATTTTTAAATAGTACAGTTTCGACATATCATTTTGAGATGTGCATTTACACATATAAAAGCTGTGCAGAGTAATCAGTTCTGAAATTTATACTGTGAGAAGTTTGACATTTAACCCTTTTTCAAAAGTGGAGCAAGGAATAAAACACTGTAAAATAACTTGCATAAGTCCTAGAGCTCTGTTTTTGCATAAAACAAACAGCTATTCTGTTCTTGTAGTCACTAATCTACTATTACCTACATCAATATTGTTATTAACGTAACTTTATCCAGAAGTTATTTTTCTGGAAGGTATTTTTACAAGTAGTAAATACGTTGCAATGTGAAATGCTGAAAATACGATAATTTGTCAAAAATACTGTTATTATACTATCACCCTCTCTGTTAAGTTATTCTTCTGCATAATATTTTGAAGTTAAGCAACCCATATTAACGCGCTGATGTAAATATTCATACTTTTATCTGTTCATTTGAGTTGCTCAACATAAAACTGGAAGTTCATTTGTATTAAAGTGTATACACTTGGTGGTGGCATGCAAATAAGCAGATATCATCTAATTCATTAACATGACCCTCTTCAGAACAATTTTAAAAGGTTATTAAGTCTTCGTTTATTGAAAAGTTAAATCCTTTTATTCTCCTACTGTTGATTACCTCCCATCTTATATATGGATAAACAGTTTTAGAATTGTATGTGTGCATATGCCAGTTGTTGAATTCACTGCAAGAATCAAGAACAAAAGATATGATATACATTGATGATTCAGAAGATCCCTGTGTATTAATGAAGGCTTAATTAATGGTAGTTAATAATATACAAATGAAAAAGTAAAATCATTTGTTGACAGTGACTATAATCAAGAAGATTAGATATTCTGAATACTTTATACATTCTGGGGAATTATCTACTGCTCTACACTCCTCTGAACACAAAGATACTCAGTTTCTGTAGCATTTTCCTTCAGGAAATTAAGTGTTTTTGGCGGTCACATTTAGTGTTTTGTAATGTAGAGTTGTCATTTATGATTACCTTGTACTGTGAATTCATTAAATGTGTACACATATGAGTTCGTCATATGAACTGTATAAAAACTATGGTGCTTTCTCAACTTCTGAAACTAACTGGTCCCTTCTGGTGCCCATATAACCATTTTGCCATCATTTAGTTTTGATTCATAAGACTTATAACAGACTGTTAAAATAGCCTATGTTGGGTTTATCTCAGAAGAATCTAGCGTTTCGTCGTATAGGTCTGTTTCACTTTTACTATGTTTCATAAACAGAAACAATTAACCAACTTTAAACTCGAGCTTCCGTGTTTTTGGTTTCAGGAATTATCTCAATTTCCTAACTGGGGAAGTAAAAAATCCTGCAAGGTAATTTTTGCTCATTTTATCCTCTGTGTATTTTGTAAGCCTGAATACGTAATCAGAGAACATGTATATACCACTGAGTAGGGACCGTTTACCCTCAGCTATTATTATATACTCATGTAAGATCTAATTTGTACTTATTTATAATGACTTAAAATATACAGAATGGGAGATACTCGGGTGAACATTTACCTACGATTTATGAAGATAAGATTAGTGTTGTTGTACAGCAGCCATTATAAGACAGTTGGAATTACCTAGAACAGTTAGTATTTTGGTTAAATAAGAATAAAAAGTTTTAAAATAGCTCTGTTTGGTTCAGTTCTTTTCTGAGCTGCACATTACACGTGAGTATTGTCTCCCATCTCCTATATGTTTAAACTACTAATTCATTTTTAACTAGGACGTGTTGCTTAAGGTTATGCAGACTATGGTAAAAGTATATTTTGAAATCCTGAACACTAAGGTAAAATAATAGCATTAGGTGTTTTTGTAACGACGTACAAACAAACGCAAACATGTCTAAATATACATTCTAAGTTGTGCCATCTTCTTGCAATATGCCTGTGAAAATATAAACCATATAACCTTACTTAGAACTGTTTTGAGTTTCCAGCCTGTAATAATAATTTGTAAATGCACTGCCATATATAGCAAATGTTTCAATGTGAGAAAGAATTTTTGTTTTCACTTGCATTTATTACTATCTCTACACTCTAAACCTGGGTAGTATTCTTTGAGGTGAAATGGAGTAGAAAGTCAATGCGGGGGAATATCCTTTGGATACTGTTATATATGTATATCAAAACTAAATTTTGCTGTATAACCAGTTGTAGCGCTTTGACTTGTACCTATTGTATGTGGTCTGATAACAATACTAGACCGCCTTAACCTCAGTAGTTCAAGTGACGTTTTTTTTATTCCTTTACGTTCCAAGTGGAACATAGGGATTCTAGCTAGAGGCTCGAAGTTTCAGTAACAGTGGTGATTATTTTTACAGGATGAGCTTACTAGCCTCATGCCCAGCTCAACGTTCCCTTTAACCAGTCTTATTACTGGCTTAGCGAGGTAAGGGAGTGAGTCGGCGACCGGGAATTGAACTCCGGACCACATGCGTGGTCGGCGAGCACTCTACCGCTGTGCCACCGACGCACAGTGACATCCGAACTCATAATCCATAAGCCACTGATCCGCTATGTAAATAATTTTCTGTCATATTGTAACAACAGAAGAAAAAACATGGAAGCGAAGGTATATTTTCAAGTGATCAAGCCACTTTTTATATAATAACAGTTTATATTCGTTAACCAATCACTGAGCATGTGATTTTGGTTTAAATTAAACGACATGAAATATAATGTTCAAATATACATAGTATTCTGTTACCAATGCAGTATTGAACTGTGTGAAAAGTATTCTGACTCTAACATCAAACAGAATGTTCAAATAGATATATCGTATTCTACTGCTAATGCTCTATTGAACTGTGAAAATATGCGAGAATAATATTCCGTTGGCACACATTGTCTGTATCACACCACTACAATATGTCACTATCACTCATGCCAAACTAGGCAGTGAGTTCAAATCCATAGTCATTAGTTTGTGATATAGTATCTATATGAGTGAACTTCAGTTTCAGTGTACTGATCACTTAATTACTTAACAGTATAAAATAATATATTTATTTCTTTTATTTCCAGGACTCTTCCAATTGTGATTGTCCTTTCGCTTACAACAGTTACACTCATATACATTTTAACGAATGTAGCCTACCTTGCAGTATTATCACCTACAGAAGTTCTCGCTTCAGGTGATGGATCTGCTGCTATAGCTGTGGTGAGTTGTCATAACTGTTCAATTTCATTCAGTTTTGTACTTTACTTTTATAAAAGTCGTTGGTATCGAATTGCATTTTCAGACTATTATTATTACTGTCTTCACTTCATCGTATTCTCTGTGGTTCTGTTTAGCTGGTCCTACAACTGTTCATCTCCTCTATGTCATATTCGGACACACGCCCGACTCCTTGTTTCCCATTCGGGCTACACTCGACTGGTGGCCTGATGCACAATGTCACCCAACAGTCAGTCTCTTCAACGTGTATCCAATCCATCTGCATTTTCTTCGGAATTTATGTTGAGCAACAGGATCTTGATTGTTTAGTTCCCATGGTTCCTTGTTTCAAATTCTTTCCGACGATTTGATATAGGGCGAAGACATGCTGTTGGAAATGCCTTTTGTGACTCACGCGTCAAGTTTCTGATCCACATAGAAGAACTGACTGACCTAATATTCGTGTTGAAAATCTGATTTGTTTTTTCTTTATGTTGAGTGCAGATTTCCTACAGTAATTTTAGAGTGATGCAAGTCTGTCTTGCCTTCCCCATCCTGGCTGGTTTTGACTTCCTCAGCCGTACTGTCACCGGTAGTTGAAACGAAGTTTTAAAATACCCACAGTTGATTTTAAGATAAGCAAAAACTTCACTTGAAAATTTGTTTGTTGGATGATATACCAATCTAATAACTATTTCAAAATAGACATGCAGACAAAAGTAGCATACATAATATGTGGTTGACCTCACTATGATTCACACAGGCATTTAAGCCTGCCCCACAGGAGAGCAGATAACACGTGACACAATGTGAAGAGACACAGTTGGTTGAAAATCTTCCTAAACCACTCTGAACATTGTTTAACAATCTTACAAATTAACTTCTGACAGCTGGTGCTACAAATATACATTACAAAATCACTCAACCTTGAAAGGCAGCTGTATATTTCTCGAAAGCTTTCGACAGCCAATGAATAACTTGTCAGGCATGTTAACTACTAGAAAAACATGAGGTCCTATGTAAGTATTTTTATGTAAGAAGCTGTCTGTCTGTTTTCAACATAGAACTTTGCACCGATGTGCAACAGTTCAAGTCGCTACACTCCATGTAGCACACAAAGCAAGAGAAGAAAATAGAAGAAATGCATAATAGAGACAGTAGGCAGGGATATGAGACAAAAGGAATAGTAATAACGAAGAATAATAGAGTTTCATTGGAAATTATAAGTCACAGAGAATCCATGCATCTGCGCCACCCATTGAGAACGATTTTCAGCCATATCACCAATCGTCTCCAGCCTTCATTGGTGTTTACCGTCCTGAGGACCCCAACCAGTCAGCCAGTCTACACACTCATACATGGTTGGCTACTGGCTTAAACTAACTGTTGTGGATTTCATTGACTGATCAGGCCATGTTTTGGTTTGACCACCACTAGCTCTTTTCCAACCTCCTCCATCCTATGTCAGCTAACATTGCCCGTCGAGGAAAGCCATGACTAGGCTAGGCATACGTAACACATGTCGTAACCATCTCAGTCGATGTAGCTTCCGCTCCTTATCTAGCACTCGATCGATGCCTTACCTCAATATTGCTCACCTTATTATACTACTCAACACACAGGAGACAGAACGCAGGCACCTATGATCTAAGACAGTTAATCATGCTTTTCATATCCTCTGCTCTCAATGGCCAGGTTTCACAGTCATAAATGAGGATGGAGCAGACTGATGAGCAGTTCACACGCCTTTTGATCGACAGCCAGCCGGATATCATGTCTACTTATCCAGAGACGGCGTATACTGGCATGTGCGAAACTAGCCTTGCGTATCTGTGCTGAGATTTCGTCAGCGATCAACCCTATGGTCAACACGCTCTGTCACTTCACTCCTTATTTCTAAGCTAGGCGTATTCTATGTAGTCCAGTCCTGTAACATCATCTTACATTTAGTGGGAGCGAATCGCATGCCAATTATTCGCAGACTGCAGCTCAAGATGTTCAGAATACTCTGCATTTTGTCAGCGTCTTCACCTAAAAGGCAGGACTATATCATCTGCATATTCTCAGCCAACGAGATTATTCCTTGACGGTAACAAGTCAATCCGTGAGTCGCTGAAGTGAGTTAGTGTTAAGTCCATTAGTACATCTATGATGAAATTGGATAGAAGTGGGGATAGTTGGCATCCCTGAGAGACGCCACTAGTTGTCACCACTTCAGATAACAACTCGCCGTAAGCTCACGAGAAGCTAAACACTTTTTTCTGCTAGATTGAGTTTTAAATATTGTATCCATGTAAAACATCAATTCATTTTCAATTCAAAAATCCATTGTTTCTTTAATTATAAACTTAACAGAGTTTTGCAACAAGATGTATGGGCTATTTTGGCTTGGTAATGCCAGTCCTTGTGGGCGCCTCTGTATTCGGAAGTATAAACGGTGAGGTATTTTCCATTTCTCGGTAAGTTATTCGTGATGTATTTTTGTTGTTGTTGTTTTGCGTTCCACCTGAAAGAAAATACAGTATGTAAAGGGTGGGGCACAAAGTTATTCTGTTAGCATTTTACCAGTCATACAAGTCACAATTGAATCCATACTTATGGAAGCTAATTACTACTAAAGATATCACAGTTTTTTGTCATACTCAAATTTTTCACGGCAGAACACACTCGTGACCATTAGACCTCCACCAGAAATTAGAACTAGACAGATATACTGTTTTTTATTTTTTAAATTTTCACGTTTGCCGCTTGATTCATGTGAGTATAACTCATTTGAATGTTAAACTTTGAACATTTAAGTTTGCATCTGATTTCTGTGTAAATTCCATCTTCAGTAACTAATATCATAAAGTGAACTCTGAATAAGCAAACACGAAAGTTTCACTTTACAATATAAAATCAAAACCATCTATTATATGACGCACCGGTGCCCCGGTGGCTCTCCAATCACGCCTCATGTGGTCTGGCTTTCGATCTCCGGTCGCCAACTCACTCCCTTACCTCGCTAAGTCAGTAATACGACTGGTAAAGAAGGTAGGTTGGGCTGGGTATGAGACTAGCAACCCCATCCTGTAAAAATAAACACCACTGCTACCGAAACTTCGAGCCTCGAGCTTGAAGCCCTATGTTCCACTGGGAACGTAAAGGAATAAAAAAATGTGGCATGTGAAAGGTTAGTTTTGGATTGGATATAACAACTAAGGCGTCTTTCCTCTCAATCATGTTAAAATTGGGAGGGGTACATATCAATCTGAGTCGTTCCATTTGAAAAAAATTGTCATCCATACGGTTATATCATTATTTGAGTGTAATCCAACTAAAACTGAACGAGAGTCAGGCCAACAATAGTGGTAACAAGGAATAGAAATTTAATAGAGAGTGAGGGAAGATTACATTCTTCAACGTTCAGACAGATCAAGTCCATTGTAGATGTTGTGACACTGAACAAACTTCTTCTTTATGCAGAGTTCAGGATTTAACATGTGGATTGCCATCGATTCGACGGTTTGAAGAAGTTTGATGTATACTCTTCCAGTAAGATTGCCTCGTATTCTATAAATAACTTTGAAGTTTCTCTGTGGGTTAGCTTGGTGTCTAGATCCGATCAGGTGTCCCAGGATAGAGTTGTGGTGGGGGAGGAACCCTTTTTTCTTTTATAAAGCCATGAGGGTAAGTGTTCGATGATACGCTTGGATAGCAAACGCTGGGTACTACCGACAAACCCAGCTCCTCACGAGCAGGTGAATTGATAGATACACGTTGAAGAGGTTAGCAGGAGTAGCTTATCCTTCACGTTCATGTGAATGATTGGTGTTGTGAAGAAAGTTAATCGAAGTTCAGCCTTGAGGGAAGTTTATTTTCATTTAGGTGGTTTCTCGGTATTTCTATCGATGAGTCCCCACTGAATTGTCGCTTCAGGGAGAAGTACTTTTGGAGCAGAAAGTGTGGGTGGTTTTAGTGGTTTAGGCTTCATGGAATTTGTAATAAAATATTTGGGATAACCTTCTTGAACCTGGAATTACACCTTGTAATAACCTGGGAGTTTTCCTGTATTAGTTCTGGGAAATTCAAGTTTAAATACTAATCATAGATATACGCCGTCTAAGTGCAAAGTTCTTTTGCAACATTGGCTGAAGCCTGTACCTGCACTCATCTTTGCAGGTGAACCGTTTGAAGTTATCGACAAGTTCGTATATCTAGGTAACTGTTTGAGTACTGGCGGAGGTGTGACGCACGAGATTTCTAATTGCATAGTAAAGGCTAGGATGGCATACGACTATTTGAGTCACCTCTGAGGCTGTCGGTACTTCAGCTTGATTGCCAAAAGTAGGGTTTACAATACTTCGGTGAGCGAAATCTTACTCTATGTCTGTCAAACCTGAACTATCCGTAGAATTATCTGCATTCGATGGCATTATCGCATGAGCAATCCTGAGGTCCGGTGTCGTGTGTTTTGGCAAGGCAGAGGTTACCATTCATTGAATTTCGTCACTGGAAACACCGGCTTCAGTGGCTCTCCATAAATGTCATCCCAGAGGCTTTTGTACCGATCTCCGTTCGCCACTCCTGGGACTGGATGGAAAAAACGGAGCCTATGACGCGGCGTCGTATGATGAAGGATATTTGTGTTAGATTAACATCATTTGGCACATCACGACTCCCTGATCAGGGTCTGGAGGATCAGTGTCTCGAAAGGTTATCAGATATGACTTGATCTTGACAAATATGCTTTCTTGGTCTCTGGATAACATCCCACATTTATTCTCTGAATCTCTTGGTGCCTATATTCTACCAATTTTATGTTTTTGAAATCATTTTAGATTGGCATTTACTGCTGGAGAGGAAGGACATATGCCTGCTTTACTTTCAATGGTTAACATTGAACGTCTAACTCCAATTCCCTCAGTGTTATCTGTGGTAAGTATACACTTCCCTCCCTTAACACAAGTACTGAGCCTAAACTCTTCGAAATTTCTGTATTTAGGTTTTATTTGTCAAACTTATACAAATAACTTCATATACGGGGTATTGTGTCATTGAGTGTTCTGCCGTTATCTCCATCTTTGAAGTAAGCTCACTTAAGAATTTTCTTTATCCAGTAAGATAATAGGGTAGTGTAATTAACTGGTGTGTGCGTCAATGGCTCAGCAATAGGATGCTCTTCAACCACTCACATGCTCTAGGGTTCGTTCTCTGGTCATCGACTCACTCCTAAATCTATCTGCCCCTGTAGTAAAGACGATGAAGTGGGAAGGTTTAACGTGAATGAGGCTAGCAACCCCACCGCATAAAAATAAAACCTCCGCTACCTAAACTTCAGATCTCAAGCTGCAAAGAAATAAAATAATCCACAGGTGGTTTAAATTAGTTGTTTGTTTTTTGAAGATATAAGTAGATTAAATACTATAACAGTTGTACAACATCATAAATATATTCGACATGTTATTATTATTATTATTGTTCTCTTGGGTTCCTAGTGGAACGTAGGGCTTCAACTGCACGTCTACACATGCTGCTTCTGTCTTCTACTGTCCTTTTCACCTGCATCCATATTAGTCCATGCTGTTTCAGCTCCGCTTCACACGATCTTCTCCATGTCACCCTTGGACATCCCACTCGCCGCTTCCTTTTCGGGTTCCACTCGAACACTGGCCTGACGCGCGATGTCACCCAGCGGCCTCTTCAGCGAGTGTCCAATCCATCTCCACTTTCTCCTGCATATTTATTGGGTGATTGGTTCTTGTTTTGTTTGTTCCCATAGTTTCTTGTTGGTGATTCCTTCCGGCCATCTGATCTTCAATATAGAGCGAAGACAGTTGTTGATAAAGGTCTGCAACAGGCTGTTGGAAATATTCTTTGTGACCCGCCAAGTTTCTGATCCATCCGTATAGAAGAACTGACTTGACGTTTATATTGAAAATCCGAATTTTGTTGTTGATGCTGAGTGATTACTAGATTACTAGCCCACTAGTTTTCTAGCCGGTCCCAAGCTCGGATAAAGAGGGAGGGTTGGGGCGTTGTGCCAGCAACTCCACAGACCGACCGACCACCCCCAAAACTTAACCAAACTGCTACAGAAACTTCAACGCACAAATATATTCGACATGTTACTGAGATAATATTGAGACTATTACTCCTGAATGCCAGTTGAAATAGTTTAGCGACATGTTGAATACCATTAGTGTCAGTAGCCTTTCTTAGTTGTGTCTCACATTGTAGTCATTTCAAACAAAAGCATTATTTGATCGTCTCACTTGGTTCCTCATTGTTATTATTATTATTATCCACTTGGGTTCCGACTGGAATATGAGGGCATCAAGAGAACATTTTCACTTTTTTCCTCCACTCTCCAATCCTCCGCGGTTGGCCGCACGATCACTCATAATCTCTCGTTTCTTCGTTATACGATCCCCTCATTGTCACTCTCACATTCTCAACTGAACTGTCGCTTCCCACTAGTGTTCCACTCGAGCGATGGCCTGGCGTGAAGTGTCACCCCAACTTTCTCCTCAACGTGTGTCTGATCCATTTCCATTTTCTTCGGGATATTTTTTTGGAGTTATAAGTTTGTCTCCAGGGTTTCTTCTTGCCAATTCCTTCTGACTCTGGTTATTTGATCTTGAATATGCAGCCAGCAAAAGAAGCTGTTGATAAAAGTCAGCAGTGACTTGTTGGCGATGCTTCTCATGAAGCGCTAGCCAAGTTTCTGACCCATATGGAGCAAATGACTGACTTAGCTTTGGTGTGAAAATTCGAATCTTGTTTTTTTTCTTGTCTGCTGAGTGCAGCTGGTTTCCAAACTGATTTTAGAGTGATAAAGGTCTATCCTGCCTTGCCGATTCCGGTTTTGACATTTTTATCCTCGTTGTTGCCTGCAGTTGGGAGGATGATGCCTAGATTGGTGAAGGTTTGTTTGTTTATTAGGTATATCACACAGTGAAAACGCAGTATTATTTACTGGATGACGTTTCGAACAAAATTTATTGTTCATGATCATATCAATTGTGATCACACGACTTTGACACTTGAGTTTTATAGCTTTCTTCGTTTTCTCCTATTTGTCCTAGGGGTACTAGAATTTTCTAGATATCTGGGACAGGTGATGAATCATTCCTATTACATGTATTTGTAGTTGATTCGATAAACAAAGCTTCTGTTATCAATCTCTCCCTATACCCTGTGACATTAGATTTTAAAACTGTCATCCTATCCCATCCTATTGTATGGTTGTGTGTAACTGCATGTAGTGCTATAGCTGAACTATTCTCTAGATTTCTTATCTTATTCGGGTCAACTAATCTAGATTTTGCTGCTAAGTTTTTATGTTCAGCTAGTCTGACTGCACCTGTTCTACTACTTTGACCTATGTATCTGACCTGACAATCATTGCAGGGTATTAGATAAACTAAATTGTTTTGTTTTAAAGATTCTACAGGATCCTTTAACCAACAAAGCTTGTTTCTAATTGAGTTTGTGTGTTTGAATGCCGTTTTTATTCCTGCCTTGTTTAGAATTCTGCGTAAGGCTTCCGAGGTTCCTTCCTTGTATGGAATTACTACTGATGATTTAGATTCTTTATTGTTGGTGTCGTCATTAATATTATTATTATTATCACTATTATAATTATTATTGTTATTATCACTATCGCTACTATCATTAAATAGTTTAACTAATTTAATTAAATTTAATTAAATCTATCATTGAATTGAATAATACTGTTTCACTGTGTGATATACCTAATAAACAAACTAATATGGAATTACTTACTACCACAGTGCCCAAGTTGTACACATATATTAATAAGGTAGTGACCTCTTTTCATTTTATCCCATTGATAGTGATCGGTGCCTGTTGTTGTTGTTGTTGGTGGTGGTGGTGGTGTTGGTTACTGGGCATCTTAATAACCTCCATTCTCTTTATATCCACTTAAAGTCTTATATTTGCCGTCTGCCTCTTATGTCAGCTTGGTTTTCGCCTGTGAGTCTTCGAGTTTGTGTGACATAAATCATCCATGAAGACCAGATCTACAATCTTCTTATCAGTGTAACATATTCTTGTCTTCTCACTTCCCACTCCCCACTTTGCACAGATGTGCACCAGTTCCAACCGCCACTCTCCTCCCATGTATCACACAAAACAAGAGAAGGGAGCAAAGAGAAATTCAAAAGAGAGATAATAAACGGAAGTTTCAGTCAGAGGAAAAGGAATAGTAATATGAAAAGACAATAGAGTACTGTTGGATATGACAAATCACAGTGAGTGAATGCATCTGTGACATCCAGTACAATTTTGAGCCCTAACACCAGTTGTCTCCAGCCGTCATTGCTTCATACCATTCTGAGGACCTCAACCAGTCAGTCAGTCAGTCAGTCTACACCTGCCTACATGACTGTCCAAAAGTAACTATCAAGGATTTCGTCGACTTAGAATATGCGGATGATATAGTCCTGCCTTCTAGGTGAAGACGCTGACGAAATGCACAGTATTCTGAACATCTTGAGCTGCACTCTTCGAATAATTGGCATGCGATTTGCTCCCACAAAATGTAAGATAATGTTACAGGATTGGACTACATAGAATACACCTAGCTTAGAAATAGGGAGAGAAGTGGTAGAGCGTGTTGACCATAGGGTCGATCGCTGACGAAATCTCAGCACCGATACGCAAGGCTAGTTTCGCATATGCCAGTATACGCCGTCTCTGGATTAGTAGACGTGATATCCTGCTAGGTATCGGCCAAAGGGCGTGTGTACTGCTCAGCAGTCTGCTCCGTCTTCCTTCATGACTGTGAGACCCGGCCATTGAGAGTGGGAGATATGAAAATCATGGCTAGCTGTCTTCGATTATAGGTACCTGCGTTGTGTCTCCTGTGTGTTGAGTAGTATAATGAGGTGAGCAATATTGAGGTGAGGCATCGGTCGAGTGCTAGGTAAGGAGCGGAAGCTAAATCGACTGAGATTGTTAGGATATGTGTTACGTATGCCTATTCATCGCTTTCATCGACGGGCAATGTTAGCTGACATAGGACGGAGGAGGTTGGAAAAGAGCTAGTGGCGATGAAACCAAAACATGGCCGGATCAGTCAATGAAATCCACAACAGTTAGTTTAAGTCAGCCAGTCACGTAGGAAGGTGTATACTGGCTGACTGGTTGGGGTGCTCGGGAGAGTAAACAGCAATGAAGGCTGGAGACAATTGGTGATATGGCTGAAAATCGTTCTCAATGGTTGGCGGAGACGCATGCACTCCTTGTGGCTTATAATTTCCAATGAAAGTCTATTGTTCTTCCATATTACTATTATTTTTGCCTCATAACTCTGTTTACTGTTTATTGATTTGCATTTCTTTTGACTTTCTTTTCTTGGTTTTTGTGTTAAGTGAAGTATGGCGACTCGAACTGCTGCACATGTGTGCGAAGGTCTATGTTGAAACCAGACAGACAGATCAAGGATTTCACGAAATGATTCCAGGTTTTAGCCTCACCACCACTAGCTGTTTTCTTACCGGACCCATCCTTTCAGCTAAAATTACTCATCAAGGAAGGTGATTGCTACACAGGCGTAACACTTGTCCTCCTCAATTCCACTGATGTAGATTAACAACCTTATCGATTGATTTTCCCTCCTTACTTAACAATCGATGCCTAACCTCAATAGCACTCATTCTATTATACCACCCAACATGGAAGATAGAACGCAGACACCTATGATGAAACACTTCTGATGACTATGGCAAATGCCAAGCGAGCCTCCTGTATCCGTGCTGAGATTTCGTCAGCGATCAACCTACTGGTGTCGGCTGATGATGCAACTCCCCAAATAGGTGAATTGGTGGTCAACACGCTCTCCACCACTTCACACTACCTATCTTTAAGCTAGGAGTCAATTTAATGCAGTCTTATAGCATCATTTTGCATTTAACACGAGCGGAGTAATCTCATGCCAAACATTCGAAGATTGCTGCCTTTGCTGGTCAAGGTGTTCAGAAGACTGTGTATTTTATCAGTGCGTTCACCTTGGAGAGAGGTTATTCCCTGGTAACAGGGAAATTAATTAACTTGAAATTAACTTTACTATCAATACAAAATTATTAAGAACAAACTGTAACCGCAGTACTTGTCAGGGGGAACAAAATTTATTATGTTAAGCGTGAAACCTATGACTTACTTTGTTATTAACAACATAATTTTAGGCTCTTTTATTTCTCTCTTATTTTGTATTCTTTAGTGAACTCCTTCTTCAAACATACTTAGCTACCTAAATTATTAACATTGGCTTCCTTTTTTGTACTTTACTATATTCCTTCTATTGTGTATCCACTGGTTCCGACTCTATTAGCACTATGAGTATTACAAAATTGTCCTGTCATTAACCATCATGTAATTATTAGTTTAGTGGTTGTTTTTTCTTATTTTCTATACTTTTCGGCAATATTAACTGACAATCATTGGTTGTGAACGCCATAGCCACCACCTTAAAACATTTTGTATTATTCAGGATTACTCACACTACAACCACAAACACTGCATTAGACTTTGGTAGACTTTTGTACTTTTTCGCATTTATAATTATTTTGTGTTTATCCTGTATTTTTTTTGCTGTTGGTGTCTTCAGATTTATTTTTTTTGTTTGTTTAATACTTATTTTAAATGTCTGTAAAATTAGATGCAAATATTGTAGATATGTGCTGAAAATTCCACACTGTACAACTAGTACTGTTTCTGGAATAAAGCAAATTATTATTATTATTATTACTTCAAAGACTGATGATGAAACTACTCGTCTAGTCGGAACAATTCATTCATAGAAATACTGACGTGAATATAAAGCGAATTAGAAATTAAATTATATTGCTGAAAACTAAAATGTTTTGTTATTTATCGTGTACACATTCATTTTTCTCTCTCTGTCTCTCCTTCTCTTGTAGGTGATTTTAGCTATTACTTACCAAATGTTCGACGATGTATTCTATTTAATCGAGCTAACAGGGTTTGCTTTCGCCGTCATTTCCGCAATGGCTGTTGGTAGCTTACTACACATTCGTCGAACAAATCCTGGAATGAATACATCTGGATTTCGGGTAGGTTACATTTTTCTGCCAACGTATTATAATATTATTATTATTGTTTCCTTTAATTCTTAGAGGAACATAGAAATTCAGCCCCATGTCTACATTGCGTTAGGTTCTCTGCCAACCTTTTCACCTGGCTCCACGTCTGCCCATATGCTTTCATCATTTCCACTTCAAATGACCTCCTCCATGTCACCCCACCCTTGCACTGACGACCAATTCACTCGTCGCTTCCCATTCGGGTTCCACTCGAGCGATGGTCTGGCGTGTTATGTCACTGACTTGATGGTTTGTTTTCTCAGAGTATGGCTAATCCACCTTCATTTCATCCTGCATATTTGTTGCACAATCGGTTCCTCCTGGGTTGGTTTGCTCCCAGAGATCCCTTTTGCTGATGTTTTCTGGCTGGCCATCTGATCTTGAGTAGTATTGAGCGAAAACAGCTGTTGGTGAAGGTGTGTAGTTTGTTCGAAGTGGCCTTCGTGACGCGGCGTGGCATGGTGTGGTGCCAAGTCTCTGATCCGTATAATAAGTAGCACTGATTTCACATTGGAGTTGATAATCCTCATCTGTTTTTCATTTTCATGCTGAGTGTTGCTGACCTCCACACAGACTTGAGAGTCGTGAAAGCTTGCTTTGCTTTGTCGATCCTCGCTGATTTGATATCCTTATCAGTTCCGTCAGCCTTTAGTTGAGACGATACTTCTCAGGTAGGTCGGTAGGAAGGTAGGTAAAGGAGGTTGCTTCTCTCACATTCCTCGCATTTGTGCTGATTGTTGTCTGTTGTTTTTGTTGTTGCTGTTGCTATTAACCAGGAATCTTCATCTCATACCTCCGTCTTCTCTATGTTCACCTGAAGGAAGTCCTATCTTCTCTGGATGCTTCTTCTACAAACTTGTTGTTTTTCACTTGCATATATTCCAGTTTGTGGGAAATCAGACATATATCATCATGGGCGAAATCCAGATCCTCCAGAAGTTGATGTTAATTATTTTACTCATTATCGTTACTTCAGTATGAAACGAATGCTGATGAACATCTTTAAAACCTCCATTTTATGCAAACTGAACTCCGGCCGTTCTTTATCACGTTGTTTATTAGATATATCATACAGTCAGAGAAATAGTATTATTTACTGGATGATAAGGTTTCGAACACAATTTATTTCTGTTCAAAATCATATCAGTTATACCCACACAACTTCGAAACTTGAGTTTTATAGTTTTCTTCATTCCTTCCTATTCGTCGTAGAGGTAGTAGTAGAATTTTCCAGATGTCCGGGTGGACAGGTGTTGAACCATTTCTATTACACTGTTTTTTCAGTTGATTAGATAAGCAGAACTTCTATTATCAGTCTCCCCCCGTCCACCCTGTTATGTTAGATTTTAAAACTGTCATTTCATCCCATCCTATTGTATGGTTGTGTGTGTAATTGCATGTAGTGAGTGCTATAGCTAAACTATTCTCCAGATTTATTATCTTAGTAGGGTCAACTAATCTATATTTTGCCAGGGTTTTGTGATGTTCCTCTAGTCTGATTCTGACCCCATTTTATTACTGTGACCTGACAATCATTCCAGAAGGACATTAGATAAAGCCAATTGTTTTGTTTAATTGGCTCTACAGAATCCTTCAACCTACAGAGCTTGTTTCTACTTGTATTTGTAGGTTTGAACACCACTTTTATTCTCTTTCCTGACTTTCCAATTCATAAGTGAATTAATGAATTGTTCCGACCTTCAAGTTGATGTGTTTGAAAAGTCTATTTATGTCCTGTGTCTTAAGTACGATGAATGTGGTGTCATCTACATACACCTCCAACATACTTTGAGAGTAGTACTGAATCTTTCAATCGCTAAGTTGTTCCACTTATCCATGATGAATGTATCTGTCAATATTCGGGAGGGGGTATATTGACAATCCCATAGCAACTCCCTTAATTTGTTTGTATATTTTCTCTTGGAATTTAAATACTGTAGAAGTCAAGCATAGAAATGTGTGCGTCGGTGGCACAATAGCTAGGACACTAGCCTACCACGCACATGGTCTAGGGTTCGATCCCCGGTCACAGACGCACTCCTTTACCTCACTAAGCCAGTAATAAAATAGCTGGTAAAGATGAAAGGTTGGGCATGAGGCTGGCAACCCCATCCTGTAAAAATAATCACCACTGCTACAGAAACTTCAAGCTTCTAGCTTGTCAGGTTTATTAGAACAACAACCAGCAACAACCAACAACCACATTTCTTTGCACCATTGTGCATTGTGATGATTTGAGACCAGATGTTGTAAGTCGACAAGGCGTATCTGCAATCTGGAGTAGACCCATACTCGTGCAAACATTCAGACCTCTGTGTTATTCATTGAATTTGGAAGCAGTCATAAGAAAAAGACCGTAAACAGTGAAGAAAATTTCCTTTTTAGCGATTCATTTTCATAAACTGTTGTACAATCATGGTAATTATATTTAACATAGAAATCATATGAATAATCAATCAGATACTGGTGGTAAAATTTGTCCTCGAAAAATGTATTCCGTAATGTAAAGTGTAACCTAGATGGGGTTAGGGTTACTGATTGTAAGTTAGAAAAGAGGCAGGAGTTGGCATGACGTAATAACTCCCGGAGTTTCGTCCCACTGATCCGAAAGCAAAACCTGGTACGTACTTTAAGTTCAAGGATTAGAAAAACCTGTTCGGAATACACGATAGAGAAAGCACTAAATCCATCACCTGAAACCCTACTAGAGAACTGGCATACACCAAAATTAGTATAAAAAACATGAAAGAAAAGCCTCTATCGCCAAAAATCTCAACTGTTCCTAAGAAAACTCTCTTCATGAACCTAGAGCTCAAAGGTGACATCGAAGCAAAAGATATTAGAAACCACCTTCCCAAATGTCCGAAGAAGATATTTCCCCATTATTTTATTTTGCTTTTCACCTTTTCTGATAATCCTAATGAGTTTTACAAGATAGTTATTTGATACCAACGCTTCCTCTATCTGTTTCATTTCATCATTTAGGTCTTTTCTTGTACTACTTATTGCTATTGCTCGGTTTGTTAGACATTTAACTAAGCCTGCCTTAGCAGTTAACGGAGGAGATGAATTAAAATGCTATATATATATTAGAGTAGAGCCAGAGAAGAGGATCTAATTGAAAAGTAAATATTTCTTCGCTCAATCTTTTGTGTTTTCCTAAAGTCTAAATATCTATTAGCAGAATGAGATGGCTTTTTATTAACACTAGTGTGCAGTTTACCTTCTTTTATTCGTTTTATTTTACAATCCAGCAGTACAGCTGATTCTCCTTGTTCATTTTCTGATTCAAATGTAAACTGCATTCCCTCTATTAGTGAGTTTGTATGTGTCAAGAAGCCACAAACGTATTCTTGAACACTGTCCAGCTTGTCTAGCGAGCCAGAGGAGAAAAGAAGAATACTAGTAGCCCCATCTTTGAATACCTTATCAACTCTGGAAATCGAGTACCCCAGCATAACTGCTTCACATTGCCAAATAGAGTCCCTCAGTATCATAAGAAAGGACTTCAAAAGCGCCATCCGTACATGGCTGAATCACTGGCTATTCGGGATCTGAACTCGAACCTCTGCATTCAAAAGCACCACGAACACACTCGTGGCTTCATGGGCAGAGTAACGTTGCCATTATGATTTTAACTTCTTTTTATTATATAAGCTTATTATTATTTTTTTATTATCATTATTACTCCTATCATGCATATTTTGCTATCACTCAATTACTGTTTATTAATAACATTGCTCTGTCACACAGATTTTATATAAAAGCACACAATTCTTACATATGGGTCAGAAACTTGGCTAGCGCTTCATGGAAAGTACTTCTAGAAGGTTACTGAAGACTTTTATCAACAGCTTCCTTTGCTGGTTGCCTATTGAAGATCAAATTACCAGAGCTAGAAGGAATTGGCAAGAAGAAACCCTGGGGACAAACTTATAATGCCAAAAACAATATCCCGAAGAAAATGGAAATGGATCAGATACATGTTGAAGAGACAGTTGGGTGACACCTCGTGCCAGGCCATCCCTCGAGTGGAACACTAGTGGGAAGCGACAGTTCAGTTGAGAGTGTGAGAGTGACAATGAGGGGATCGTATAATGAGGAAACGAGAGTTTATGAGTGATCATGTGGCCAACCGAAGAGGATTGGAGAGTGGAGGAAAAAAGTGAAAATGTTCTCCTGATGTCCTCATATTCCAGTCGGAACCCAAGTGGATAATAATAATAATAATAATGTGGAACCAAGCGAGACGATCAAATAATGCTTTTGTTTGAAATGACTAGTATGTGAGACACAACTTACAAAGGCTACTGACACTAGTGGTATTCAACATGTCGCTGAACTATTTCAACTGGCATTCAGGAGCAATAGTCTCAATATTATCTCAGTAACATGTCGAATATATTTGTGCGTTGAAGTTTGTGTAGCAGTTTGGTTAAGTTTTGGAGGTGGTCGGTCGGTCGGTGGAGTTGCTAGCACAACGCTCCAACCCTCCCTCTTTATCCGGGCTTGGGCTAGTAATCTAGTAATCACTCAGCATCAACAACAAAATTCGGATTTTCAATACAAACGTCAAGTCAGTCAGTTCTTCTATATGGATCAGAAACTTAGCGGGTCACAAAGAATATTTCCAACAGCCTGTTGCAGACCTTTATCAACAACGGTCTTCGTTCTATACTCAAGATCAGACAGATGGCCGGAAAGAATCACCGACAGGAAACTATGGGAACAAACAAACCAAGAACCAATCGCCCAACAAATATGCAGGAGAAAGTGGAGATGGATTCGACACTCGGGGAGCTGAGGAGGCCGCTGGGTGACATCGCACGTCAGGCCATAGCTCGAGTGGAACCCGAACGAGAAGCGGCGAGTGGGACGTCCAAGGGTGACATGGAGGAGATCGTGTGAAGAGGAGTTGAAACAGCATGGACTAATATGGATGCAGGTGAAAAGTACAGCAGAAGACAGAAGCAAGTGGAGACGTGCAGTTGAAGCCCTATGTTCCACTAGGAACCCAAGGAAACAATAATAATAATAACATGTCGAATACATTTATGATGTTGTACAACTGTTATAGCATTTAACCTACTTATATCTTCAAAAATACAAACAACTAATTCAAACCACCTGTGGATTATTTCATTTCTTTACAATTTTATCGATTAGTCATTATCTCACACTTATTACGTCATGCCACCTCCTGCCTCTTTTCTAGCTTACAATCAGTCACCCCATCTAGGTTACACTTCACATTACGGACTCCTTTTTTCGAGGACAAATTTTACCACCAGTATCTGACTGATTGGTCTTATGATTTCTTTGTTAAATATCGGATATATTTTGATCATGAATATCAACACATAGAAAAATTAATTTGACGCCTCCTTAAGATCGATCAATCTAACATCTAAGACTTTCTATTACTTTTAAATTATATAATATATGCTCTTAAAATGCTGAAAAGTATGCTATCATAATAAGAACAGCGTGACTGTACATCAGGCGTTTGTGTACACATACACAGAGTTTTGTTTATATCCCAAAAATTATTTACACATAACTGATGTCAGCTCGTGATGAAACCCGTTACCAGTGAAATCCCTATAAACCAACACTCGATAGTTAAATCTGATGCTCACTAGGGACTGGCTGTCTACAGGAGAGTAGTAGTTACCTGGAGTTCTAGTGAGACATCGTAATCAGCGGGGTCCACCATATCTCGTAGGGGAACAATTACCTGCCTATGATGTTCGCTAGCGGTTGTGCTATGTATATATTGCGAATTAGTGACGTACGGGATTCATCGGCTAGTTATTGGATAAAGTCCCAGTGGGGCTAAATGGTCGACTAGCTAGTTTGCCTGTTAATAGGAGTGTCCTGGATTCGGTCGGTCAGTTTTCGACATAGAACTTTGCACATATGTGCGGCAGTTCAAGTCGCCACAATCCATGTAGCACGCAAAGCAAGAGAAGAAAGTAGAAGAAATGCATATAAGAGACAGTAAACAGAGGTGTGAGACAAAGGAATAGTAATAACGGAGAACAAAACAGTTTAATTGGAAATCATAAGTCACAAGGAGTGGATGCATCTGCGCCACTGAGAACGATTTTGAGCCATGTCACCAATTGTTTCCAACCATTGGTTTTTACCATCCCGAGGACCCCAACCAGGAAGTCTACATCTTCCTACGTGGCTTAGACTAACTATTGTGGATTTCATTGACTGGTGCCATGTTTTCGTTTGACCGCCGCTAGCTCTTTTCGAGCCTGAGCCTGTATCAGCTAACATTGCCCGTCTAGAAAGGCGATGACTAGGCATACGTAGCATGTCCTAACCATCTCAGTCGAAGTAATTTCACCGTTTCGTCGATTGATTTCCCCGCCTTATCTAGCACTCGACGCCTAACCTCAATATTGCTCACCTTATTATACCACTTCACGCGGGAGATAGAACGCAGACACCTATGATCGAAGACAGCTAATCTTTTCATGTCTTCCGCTCTCAATGGCCAGGTCTCATAGCGATAAAGGAGGACGGAGCAGACTGTTGAGCAGTACACACGCCCTTTGGTCGATAGTCGGATATCGCGTCTACGCCAGAGACGGCGAAAACTGGCGAATGCGAACCTAGCCCTCTGTATTCGTGCTGAAATTTCGTCTGAGATCAACCCGTTGGGGCTGATGGTACTTCCCAAGTAAGTGGAGCGGTCAACGTGCCCTACCACTTCACTTCCTATTTCTAATCTAGGGGTCGATGAAGTCCAATCCTGCAGCATCATCTTACATTTTACAGGAGCGAATCGCATGCCAAACATACGGAGATTATTGCTCAGGGTGTTCAGTAGACTCTGCATTTTGTCAGAGTCCTCGCCTAGAAGGACTATATCGTCCGCATATTCTAAGTCAACGAGATTATTCCCTGGTAGCAAGTCCAAAACTAGGACGAAATAACTATCCCGTACTTCAAGATTTTCCAATGATTCTCTAACTGATATCAACTTGTGCTCGAACCTGTTACACATAACCCTTAAATACTCATAGAAAGATGAAGCCATTTAATCTTCTGACGAATGTGGATACAAGTTACGCCTGTCAAAGTTTATTTCCACACTATCTTTGAATTGTTCTTTTTGAAAAATGCTTTAAGTGGGCGGCATCCACATTTACGGAAAAATTCACCGAAATACCTTTGTGTGTGTTGAGTAACTTTTCAAAGATAATGTTGTTATCATTTTTCTTTCTCTTATCCAGTTACCAATATGGGTCCCTGTGTTGTATCTGGTTGTCGACATTGCTATTGGAATACTAACAGTATATCAGTCTCCGAAATCCTCTGCTGTTAGTTTAGGTGTGATGGCATTAGGCATACCGGTGTATCTTTTTGGAGTATCGTGGAAGAACAAGCCGAAATCCATGGAATCGCTAATATGTAAGTTGTGTTTTGATAGCCATGTAATTTATTTTGCACATATAGAAAAATTAATCCGATGTAAGAAGAATTTTAGGTCGAATTGAACTATTTTCTCGTTAGACGCGAAAGATCCTCAGTTTTTCGACAGATGGCTTTCTAGATTTCCTTTTCACCTTGTTGTGCCTAGTTGGAATAGACTTCAAATTAATATAACATTCAAAATGCTTATCTCTGTAACCAGGAATCTTGGATTTCTGTTCATTATAATTAGACAGTTAAATTCTAAGTTGTCTTCATGCATTTATTCCCCTTGATGAATTTAAATAAAGGAAGAACAACAGTGGTTTGTGTAGAATAATATGGTACCATCATTTATTTCGTTGGCTTCTCATCAGCTGCTTACAGCCTAAATAAATTGTGAGGTTTACGTACAGAAAAGTTTTAACATACTTGCAAATTTTTACGTGTTGTCAGTTGACAGAAAGTTCCAAAGTAAGTGAACAGTGCTCAGAAAATTGCGCTTATATAGTTTTTACACAGGCAGTTCAAGTTTAAACAAAATAGATGTATGCATACAATGGTAAAAGAGTTACGTAATAAAGACGAGAGGTGAGTAAGATGATGAGTAACTAATAAATTTGGTAACGATGTACTGAGTTCAAATCACGTCATAGAAACAAGAGACAAGCAATATTACAGATTTTATAAAAAGAGGGGTGAGGTTAAAGATCAAGATTACGTAATCAGATTAGACAGTAAAGACATCCAGTTACAATGGCAAGGAAAGACTGATAACTGCTTCTTTCTGTACACATAAATGTGGTCTGAAGCATTTGGAACTTTCTGTCAGCTGACAACATGTAAAAATTTGCAAGTATGTTAAAACTTTTCTGTACGTAAACCTCACAATTTATCTAGGCTGATGAGAAGCCGACGAAATAAATGATGGTACCATATTATTCTAAGTTGTCTATTTGCCAGCTTTCTCCATCTCTCGCATAGATGTCATAACCGGCTTGTCATTGACCAAAGGGTGTATGTACACTGCTCAGAAGCATTTCGCTCCGTCCTCCTTTGTAGCTGTAAGCGAAACATGGTCATTAGAAGTGATCATAGGTGTCTGCGTCCTATCTCCCATGTTAGGTGAAATTGTGGTGATGTGAAACAGACAATGTCTGCCAACGGAATATTATTCTCACATATTCTCATAGTTCAATACTGCGTTAACTACAGAATACTATGTATATATAAAGGATTCTATTTCATGTCGTTTAGTGTAAACCAAAATTACACGCTCAGTGATTGGTTAACAAATATAAATTGTAGAAATATGAACAGCGATTTGTTTAATGAAAAATATTACTTGGCTTCCGTGTTTTGCCTTTTCTGTTACAATATATTAGGGTGAGTGATAGTGAGGTTAGGCATCAAGTGTTTGGTAAGGAGAGAAAATCAATAGATGCAGTTGTGAAGTTACATCGATTGAGGCGTCTGGGACATGTGACATGACTGCGTAGCCATCGCCTTTCTCGACGGACAATGTGAGCTGAGATAGGATGGATCAGGTTAAGAAAGAGCTACTGGTGGTCAAGCCAAAACTTGGAATCACTTCATGAAATCCTTAATAGTTAGTTTAGGCCAGCCATGCAGGGAGGCATAGACTGACTGACTGGTTGAGGTCCTGGGGATGGTAACAGGCAATGACGGCTGGACACAACTGTTGATATGGCTCAAAATTGCACTGGATGGCACAGATGCATTCACTCACTGTGATTTGTCATATCCAACAATACTCTATTGTCTTTTCATATTACTATTCCTTTTCCCTTGACTCGCACTTCTGTTTATTATCTCTCTTTTGAATTTCTCTTTACTCTCTTCTCTTGTTTTGTGTGATACATGGAAGGAGAGTGGCGATTGGAACTGATGCACATCTGTGTAAAGTTCTATGTTGAAACCACTCAGTCAGAGTTAATAATATCTGCAAATGTTGTCCGCTAATCTCAACCTGATGGCTTAACCGTTAGTTCACTAAAACAGATATAAAAGGATATATATTTATTATCACTGAAAACTTTTCGAATGATTATTCAACATCACACAGAGTTTTACTTTTGTCTCAAGGAGATAAACTTACGGAGCCCTTCGAAGTGAGGACAGGAGTAAGACAAGACTGCCTACTATCGCCAATGATTTTCCTGATTGCAGTAGATTGGATAATGCGACAAAGAGTGGGGAATGAGGAAACAGGCATAAAATGGACTCATACAAAAAACTTGGAGGATCTCGATTTCGCCGATGATATATGTCTGATTTCCCACAAACTGGAAGATATGCAAGCGAAAAGCAACAAGTTGGCAGAAGAAGCATCAAAGATAGGACTTCAGGTGAACATAGATAAAATAGAGGTGATGAAGATTCCTGGGCAGCACCACCAACAGCAACAACAACAACAGACAACAATCAGCATAAATGGGAGGAACCTGAAAGAAACAACCTCCTTTACCTACCTGCGAAGCATCGTTTCAACTACAGGTGGAACTGACGAGGATATCAAAGCAAGAATCGGAAAAGCAAGACATGCTTTCACTACTCTCAAGTCTGTGTGGAGGTCAACAATACTCAGCATCAAAAATAAGATCTGAATTTTCAACTCCAATGTGAAGTCAGTGCTAGTATACGGATGGATCAGAGACTTGGCGCGTCATAAAGAGCACATCTCAAACAAACTACATACCTTCACCAACAGCTGCTTTCGCTCAATACTACTCAAGATCAGATGGCCAGAAAAGATCATCAATATAGATCTCTAGGAGAGAACCAACCAGGAACCGATTGTGAAACAAATAGGCAGAAAGAAATGGAGATGGATTGGCCATACTCTGGGGAAACCATCAAGTGGCATCACTAGACAAGTCATTGCTTGAGTGGAACCCGACTGAGTGGGAATCGGCGAGTTGGTCGTCAGTGTGAGGGTGACTTGGAGGAGGTCATGTGAAGAGGAGATGAAAACGTGTGGGCAGACTTGGAGCTAGGTGAAGAATCTAGCAGAGAACAGGACGCAATGGAGTCGCATGGCTGAAGCCCTATGTTCCTGTAGGAATTAAAAGATACAATAATAATAATAATTCAACATCAAGATGACTTCAATTCAAACCATTGTACTATTCTAAATTGAAGATTCCTTTTTATGTTTTTGGTAATTTAGTAGGTCTATCAATATATGATAGAATCAAAACCAATTTTTGAATACTTCAATTTGTCAGCTTGTTCTGTCCTTCGTGTGCCAAGATGCATATCTCGTTTCTCATGTTTCTGAGAGAAAAGATAAAGAAGCTTAGCAAAGATAACTGTCTTTTCAGAGATTTCATTCTCAAAAGCAGCTATACAATCACATTTATACTCATAAGTTCACATAGACACAATTATTTTGACTTAATTCCGCATAAGGAGATTAAAGGCGATCATAACTTTCAAATTGATATGAAAGTTTGAAGGCATGAGTGAATATAGATTACAAAGGGCTTAGAATGTAAATGTAGAGGTTGGACTGGTTCCTTCTGAACACATAGCTCCGGTTTATCTACGATACAGATGGTGAGGGCTTCTGTAATACGAAGAAGTCGGAAACATATTGTCTCTGGTAGACTTTTGTTCACTTTGTAAATGTCTCTGAATGATGAGTGAGCCAGTTGAAATTCTGGGATGGGTGTACTGATGAGGTGTTCAGTTATGGAGTTCCTCATTGAATCAGTGGGTCATCTTTGCAGCCATGCTGTGTAATTTTCTCTGACACATTTTGAAAAGACCCGCACATAGAACGCCTTATGTACCTAGCTCATCACGATTAAGTGGACTGAAATATGCACACTGAGCTGGCCATATTCAGAAGTTAGTTCTTCACATTGCTTAGAAGAAGTGGGTAGCTAGAGAATTTCACTCTTATAGTTTTCTTCGGAAGTGAGGTGCATTTTCCTCTTTTGACTTTGGTTTCTTGTTTTTTCTTTGCGAAACGTGCCGAGTATTTTATTTTAAGCCAAGACATGCTTCAGAAATAAGAGATCTTCTTCTAAGCAATCAATGCTGCGAATTCTTGTGAAACTATTTTGCACATAACGCAAATATTTTCTATTCCTCTGTGTAATTTTGTTTCTAATCTGTTTGTTTTCTATATTCACATTCACACCTTGGAACTTTCATATCAAGTTGAAAATTAGCATCACATTTAATCTGCCTTTGTTACTGTGTGTAATGAAATAATTAATTGTATCAATGTAAAACATCTCGATTGCGCAGATGAGTTTTGTTTAATCTCACACAAACTCGAAGACTTGCAAAGGAAAACCAATAAAAAGGCAGAAGAAGCAGGCAGCAAACACAAGACTACAGGTGAACATAGAGAAGACGAACCAAGGTGATAAGGATAACCAACCAATAGCAACAACAACAACAACCACCGCCAATCACTGTCAACAGGAGAGATTTGACAGAGGTTACTTCCTTCTCTTATCCAGCCCGGAAGCATCGTTTCTACACACAGTCCGGTGGAACGGATGAAGATGTGAGAGCCAGCCAGCAAGCCAGCATCAGAAAGGCAAAATATACCTTCATCAACCAAAAACCAGTTTGGAAATTTTCTGCACTGCACTCCGTGGCATTTTTTTTATCCTTCACGTTCCCCAGTGGAACATAGGGCTTCAAGCTAGTGGCTTGAAGTTTCTGTAGCAGTGTTTATTTTACAGGATGGGGTTACTAGCCTCATGCCCAAACTTTCCCTTTCACCAGCATTATTTCTGGCTTAGTGAGGTAAAGGAGTGCGTCGGCCGGGGATCGAACTCCGGACCATGTGCATGGTCGACGAGCGTCCTAACCGCTATGCCACTGACGCACCGACTCCGTGGCATGAAGAACAAGATTCGGATTTTCAACTCAAATGTGAAGCCGGTCAGTCAGTCAGCTCTTCTATACGTGTCAGAAACTTGCACTGCGTGTCACGGAAAGGATTTCCAACAAGTCAC